CGCCCGTATTTCGTCCCAACTTTTTCTACAACTTTATCGATCTCCTCGTTGTTACAATTCTAACAAGTTCTCTATTTCATAACTTATTATGCAATATAGACCAAGATATTGGAATCTAAATATTGGGTGAAATGAGCTATCTTACCTTCGAATAACGGCCTAATATGGCTTATCCCTTAAGATAGTTTCCACAGGCGTTCCTCTAATCTCAAGCTTGGCCCCGACAAGGAAATCACCAAACCATGAAGAATTTCGAAAGAGACACCAATTTCAACTCTCCTCCCTTGTTTCCTGTTTTTTCTTCGTTTTTAATCCCACACCACAGCACTCTAATTTTAAGTTAGACTAAATATTTACCATTAAAAATTTATATAGTTTTTATTAAAAAAATATTCAAAAACTTAAATCGCAAAAAATAATTCATATGTAAGTATGAGATGAATTAAATAAGATTTAATAAGTTATAATGAGATTTAGAAGTTGAAAATGAATATTATAAGGATGTGGCGTCGAAGGAATGGGCATTAAAGAATTTTAGAAAAAGAATATGGTTGAAGAGAGCATATTCGGCGAATATTCCTTTCATGAGCGAACGGTGCACGCCTTGGTCGGCTGTCCCAATTTTGTTTTCAATTTAATTTTCAGACGCCAACGTTGACTCTTGAATGACAATCTTTTTTTTGTCACGAATGTTGACCAAAAATGGAAATGAGAAACATGAGAAGGATTTGTAATCCCAGTCATGGACTTTGGATATTTAAGATCATGTAGTAACGTTCTCCCTCTAAATAAATGTTATGAAATTTAGTGAATGTTAGGGAAAAAAAAATAAACAAGTTGTTTGTTCTAAATGAATAAATTGGGTAGCAGTAATTTTGACCTTTTTAAAATAAAAGAAGAATGGAGGAGAAAGTCTGTGATTCTTCATGATTGTGTTATTGAATAGTTTAGAGTGGTAGAGGAGGGGAAAGCTCCGATGAACAGCTTTGGAACTTAAATTCAAATAATATAAAATACAATAACAAAGAAGAGGAGACGCTAGAAATTGGATGGGTTGGGAGTTGGGGCGACAATAGGTTGAACAGCAGGTTTGTTGTTGGCGTGAAGAAAGGGTTGGCGGTGGAGGCGTCCCTTGGAGTTGGCGGAGGAGTCGTCGGGTTTGGGGGGGACGACGGAGACGATGTTGTCGGCGACGTCGGAGGACGGCGGACGAGGGTAGAGGAAGTCGGTGGGGAAGAATTTGTACTGAAGACCTGCCATGGGAGGGGAGGAAGAAGAAGATGAAGAAGAAGAAGAAGAGTTTTGTTTGATGATATGGAGGTGTGCTATTGATGGGTTATTTATTTATAGAGGAATTTTGTAGTGCTGCGTGGGAGTTAGAGACGTCCTATAACTGTGGGCTGTAGTTGAATGTTGGAAAGGTCTGTTGGGGCCGTTGGTCCGTGTTTGCTTAACCAACCACGCCACATTCTTTCTATATTTCTTGTTTCTCCTAGATGCAAGAACCGAACAAAGCATTTTCAAGATCTATCGCTACCAGATATTGTCCTCTTTGGATTTTTTCTTTCGGGTTGAAGCTTTCCACACCCTTATAAAAAATGGTCCGTTCTTCTCCCCAACCAATGTAGGACATCACAAAGTGACCTCCAGATGCTGCTACGGACAACTAGCTCGACTATGATGGGTTCAAGGGGTGCAAACCATCTGAGGATTCACGCCCGCACATTTTGGGTCGTGTGTAGGAAATTACTACGCATCCAATTTTGTCCAAACTAGGGGCCACGTCTATGATAATTTTAACAATAGGTCCCTAGAACAGTAGTTGCATGTGTTTGCATTCTCTAACACCAATAGTAGGGTTACTTACTAAGTATTTCTTAAAATCCTCAACGTGTGCTACTTCTGTTTCAGGTAGAGGCAAAGAACCCCTGTATGGCTAACGATGACATCTTAAGTAGAGACAATGACACATGTATAGAATAATGATATTTTATATTTTACTTGTTTTATTTAGTATTTCCTTAGGTTGTTTTAAAAATGCTTTTGAACCTATAATGCTATGACAATGTTTATTTTGAAAATCTGGGTGGTAACAAACCTAAATTTCTACTAATCTAAAGTCGCTACCGTATTTGAAAAAGTTATAAATGATTGTAAGTCACCACACTTGTGAGATAAAGACAAAATTTAAGTAAATATTAAAAAACATAATCTTCTCCACTTAAACGGTTGCAAAGACCTAGAATTATAGACGGTAACGACCTTAGATTTCTACCTACCTAATCATCTTTGTAAGGAAATAAGTGTTTAAACTTCATCATAAAACATATACTTCATTCAAAACATTGTCATGGACTTACGTATTCGAAAATATTTTTAAAATAACACAATGAGACACTAAATGAAATAAATAAACATTAAAAGTAAATATCTTATGCTAACCTAATTCTAACAAAATAAATACAACTACCCTATGTATGTGTCATGGTCTGAGTGTAGATATTGTTGTCAGTCATTTAGGGATGTCATGCCTCTACCTAAAATAGAAGTAGCACATGGCTTGAGTATTTTAAAAAATACTCTATGTGACCCCCTATTGGGGTTAAATGCAAGCACATACAAATCATGAGTGGGACTTATCAGTATATTTTCCTACAGCGGCTATCCTAAGCGGGCCCTTGAATGTGTAATTATTTTTCTACACACGGTCTACACATGTGAGTATAGACCCACCAATCGGTTCGCACACCTCTTGACCTCTTTCTGGTTGGACAAACATTCTCTGGTAGTTGTTGATGTCGGACACCTATTAGTAGTGGCCGTCATAGCAACATTATGGTAAACATAATGATCGTTTTCCTCCTTGTAGCGTACACGTTCGTACTATTGTAAAAGGAGAAGTGGTATCCCCCAATGCATGAACACACAATAATGCATGAGGTTTCAACATTTTTCCTTTTTCATTATCATATATTACAACCCCTCTACCGTTTCCCTTAGTATCATAACTTTTTTATCATAACTTTTCATGCGTATATCGAGGTTGTACGTTATGCCAATTTGTCATTTGCATGTCAATCATATTATGTCATTCAATATCACACATTTGTCATAGCATAAACTTATCATGTCTTCGAAACATATCAATTCATATCATACACATATCTTATCATATACCATAACAGTCACATAACATAATTCAAGCATGCCTTCAAACACACCATATCGTAAACATATCAATTTATCGCATACAACATAATATTCACATATTATATGTACGTACAGCTGTCCATCCCTCTCTCTTCATTTATTATTTACTTTTTACTCGTTATTACAGGAGAACATATTGATTATGAGAATGACTGGATCATTGATTCAAGATGCTGAAACCACATGGCTGAGGATTAGAGTGGCACAATGGAAGTAGGGTGGCCCTCGAAGAAGGAAATTTTACCAAATTTGAACAACATTGAAGAAATTCTTCCATAGAAGACGAGGGAGCAAACTTTACACATTTGTTTAAGTGTTGATGCGCCTAAAGATCCAAGTGACACTAAATGTTAGTAAGCAAGAAGTGACTCAACCAAGCAAACCCAGTGAAAAAGAAATAACACCTCAACAACATAAATAGTAAAAAAGAATTCAAAAACCAAATCCAAATCCAAAGTATGTCAACACAGTTATTATAGAAGAAGAAGTTAAAGAGCCAGAGACGTATGAAGAAGCATTATAAAATATGGCTTGGCAGCAGGCATTGGAGGACGAAATTATAGCCTTGGAGAAAAAACCAAACTTGAACTAGTGTCAAGACCAAGAGATATCAAACTCATCTCTTGCAAGTGAGTTACGAAATAATGTGTCTCTAGGATTGATCAATCGAGAGATACAAGGCTCAACCTATAGCTCGAAGGTACTCTTAACAATATGGACTAGACTATGATAAAACATTTAGTCCAGTGATGAAGATCATTATCATACATGTTCCTCCAACACTTACGGTACATAAAGATTGGAAATTATGGCAGATGAATATGAAGAATGTTTTCTTGCATGGAGAGATAGACAGAGAGATCTACATCAACCAACCAAATGGATTTGAAAACGAAGTTGGAGTCATTAGTTAGTAGATGCAAAGTCCAAAGAAGCCTCATTTGGGTACGGCTCGACAGATCTTGCGATATGTCAAAAGTACAATTGATTATGGTCTTTGTACAAAAGAATCAAAGACTGCAAACTAGCTAGATACTGTGATGTTAACTATGCAAGATACCACGATACCTGAAGATCAAGCACTGGGTATGTGTTCAAGTTTGGTTCGCAAACAATTTCTTGATGTAGCAAAAGACAACCAAGAAGTATCATTGTTAACTACAAAAGCGAAGTACAGAGCATCGACTTGAGCAGTTTAAGAAATTACGTGACTAAAACTCTTAATAGAGAATTTGCACCAGAAAATTGACTATCCACTTTATTGCGACAACCAACATGAGGGCTTTCTCAACATGGTGGGGTGAATAAGGACCAGTTAAGCTCAATAGAGTAAAATTCAATAATTGTATAAGCTCATGTCTATATATTTTAGGAAAATGATTTAAGTATTTTAGGAATAAATTGTTTAGCCCGATAATAAATACCACTCAATAGGATAATGTGATTTGGTATTCAGTCTTCTACAATTCTTTCCAATCTAGATTGGATAATGTGATTAACATTTGTAGACCTAGTATTTGAATTATTTGCATGGTCTATTAATTTTTCACAAGCTATCATCTTAGTCTCAACTTTCTTTTAGTATTAATCCGCAAATACCTTGAAGTTACAATATTGGAAATAATTTAAGTGCATGCTAACAACATTAACCAATAAGTAGCAGACAAAACTATTGAAGATTGAAGGCTAATAACATTAACAACCTCAGAATCAGGTATTTGTGTGTATAAAACTCCACACCTTTGAGTTTCAATATTATAATGTAATGATCAAAACACAAGTATAAGATGGAGAAAAAGAATTTTCTGCATGTATATCATGAATATTACAAAACGAATAGAGAAATGAACCTAAAAAAAAGAAAAAAAATCCAATTGAATGGGGACCTGTAGGAGCAAACGTTTTCCATAACCTACTTTCTAAAAAATGACTATATTATGTGGGTATCATCAGATGAAGACGACTAACAAACAGAAAAAAGAAAAGCAACTGGCAGGAAGAGTGTTGTCTGTAGTAGGGAGGGTTGTCCTAGATCTTCTTCTGTGCGCACCACCTATATAATGGCATCACAGCATCATAGGCATATCAATAATCAACTTTTTCTTTACTATATCATATCCTCTTTTTCTATTCCACTTAGTAGTAGTGGTAAGGTAACCAGGAGAGCTAAACTCAATCCCCCGATGAAGCAACATCAATAACGGTACCCGAAAAATATTGAAAAGGAAGAGCTTCTATTTGGCTACAAACTGAAAGAACGATCGAATCTGATGCGAGATGAATGCATGTCCATCATCGTAGTCAAGACGAATGGATTGGGGCAACCTTCTGGACGAGCAAAATGTTGCTCATCTGCATCTTTGACAATTGACTATGATTCCACGATGTGACAGTTTCTTATAAAATCATTGGAGTAATTGACGTACTTGATCCAGAAGGGTCGGACATGCTCGAACCCAATCTCCAACCACGGTTTTAGTTGCCCATTGTAGTGGATAACTGCTGCATTCTTCACATTCTCGACATCGGTCTGTTCCTGATAGCCCAAGCCAAGCATGTGCCATGAAGGATCAATAGGATGAACTTGATCTCTAAATGCAATCAAAGCAGGGGGAAGGGTTCCCAGCTTCCACATTGTCAAGTTTGACATCAGGTTCTGAAATAGAGCGCAAGGAGTAGGGTACCCCCCCGATCAAAACAAATGAATAAGAAAAATAGCATCAGCAAAAAGTTAAACAAAGGCGATGTATATTATTACTACCTTTCTCAGCCATAAGTGGTAAATTTCCCTTATATTTGTTCTTCTCCAAGCATGAAGATCAAAAACGTTCATCCCATAGGCCCAAGCACATTCATCAGGATTTAAATGCTTTTGTATAATTGGATGGGAGAAATTAAAGTAGTTGCGGAACCGCTTAGACATTACCCACTCATCCTCACCTTTACAAGTTTCCACAGCTCCATTTACCTTTCCTTCAAGGTCAATATCCCATAGAGGAGACAAATCACGCTGAATCACAACATCGTCATCTAAGAAAACCACCTTCTCCAAGTTTGGGAAGAGCTGTGCAATTTACATCAAGGTAAAAAGTTAAGCCTCAAGCATGAAATAGTTACTGCAGTCCAATAATATTTATCTGCTCTGTTATAATACCAACCAACCTAAACATGTTTTGCGTTCTTTTTCAACTAAAAGCTACAGAGTTTAATAGTTTTACAGGGGAGGAATAAGAGAGAACTAATTGTCAGTTGAACAAATTCATAGTACAATGATTACTAATCTCCTAGGACTCAGAAATCAAGAATATAGATCCAACTCTGGACCCCATTGAAAACTTGAAGATCTTACAAATTGTGTTTGAAGCAATCAAAAAAGGAAAGTTATACTTCTTAAAATATTCTATCAATTGTGTTTGAAGATCTTACATATTGTAAGAGTATTACAGAACAAGTTTAATTACCTCTGGTAAATAAATGCGAAGATGGTTGAGTAAGGATATATATTTTGGACTTCTAGCCTGCAGTTTTGAAGCAAATATCCGTGGCGTTGTATCACTGAGATTAGCACCAACAATGTGATTCCCATGGTAGTAACTTCTTATCCCATTCTGGTTTTCTACAGCTTCGAGCACCGGGATGTTTTCTCTTGTTAACCAGTCAAATTGATGAATGCCTTTCACTTCAACAAGTGCAGGTGCAATAGAATTTAGTGCAAACCATGAGTGCATACCAGAATAAGTCTTCTTGTCAGTAATGACATGAAATACAATCTTTTCAGGTCTGAGAGAAGACTGCACAGCAGAATTGACTACAACAGAAGCGGCCAAAATGTTGTCGGTTGACAAAATAAAGTGGTAATAAGAGTTATCTGAAAGTAAAGGAAGTAACTCTGGAGGAGGCAATTGTTTGCGTGCATGAGCATTTGACGAATATTCATCCGTTAAACGAAGAGATAGGCAGTGGATGCCTTTTGGAATGGAACTAGCAGCAAAGTGCTTGTGCATCAGCTCTGCAAACTTAGATTCCCTAATGTCCTTTTCAAATTTCTCTATCTACGCAGGATAAAAGGCATTACATTAGATTAACTGCAAAATGAGGGTGTTTATAGTGTCAATCAGAAAACGGAAGCAAAAATATAACCAAAACTAAAAATAAGATAATACCCAATTTATTGGTAACTTCTGATGGACAATTTAGCATACATTAGATTAACTGCACAATGAGGGTGTTTATAGTATCAATCAGAAATCAAAAGCTGAAACATAATCAAAGCAAAAAAAAAAAATAATAATAATAATAACATAATACCCAATGTTATTGGTAACTTCTGGTGGAAAATTTAGAACCTTATCCAATGATGGATAACTTCTTATAAATCTAAGCAACTTAATATTAACATTAAGGGAAGCAACATAAATAGGTTGAGAAATTGAACGTATAAAGATCATTATAAATAAATTAGAAAAGTATGATTTAAAATATGTAACTCAAACTCATCAAGCTTTAACTTCTGCTACTAATTTCCCTGTGTTTTCTGGCCCCTTGAGTATATGCATTCCTATTTCCAAATGGCAAGTTTGTTTCTTGCTCCCAAATAATTTATAGAGATGGGTGTGCTTGCAACCTTCTAGGACGTAGCAGATTGTCTTTTCCTTTTTCTATTTAAGGATGGAATTGGGAAGGACCCATTAAGTCAAATCTATGGATTTAAGAAAATCTAAATAAAATATGAGCACTCATCACTTGTGGAAAGAGAAGTTGGCAACGGAAGTCAAAGCAATCGAAGTTCTACTCATTCATATAAAAGTTGAATGTATCCAGCATAGATGTGGAAAAGAAAATAGCTGCATAAAACAAGAATGAGAATATCAAATGACAAGTGTCCATATAAGGACATGGAATATACACAAATTTACAATTGCAGGCATGAATTACACACTATAATGCTGACAGACCATATCTATACAAAAAAGATTTAAACATAGTAGGAGAGCTGACAATTTTTTTTTTTCCCCACTTAAAATGGGGGTAAGTGCTACACCAGACCATAAAAGCATTTAGACTGCTCCAGATCCATGTTAAAGGACAGATTCAAGGAACTATGTCCAATAGACTTGTAGATTTTAGTACTCTAATGATAGTATTGAACCTTGGAGGGAAACCTATAAGCCAAGAAGCAGTAGGGCGTGGCACACAGGAGACACAGTAATTATTTTTTTTTTAATGTGTAAAAAATCTTGACATGCTTAAATATGCAATGCTTCAAGGAGTGTGTCTACTACGTTTCCCTCAAAATATAACCCAACACAAAAAGGGCAAGAAAGAAGCCAAGAATATGTTAAGATGACTAGCTTTTTTTTTCCTATTCTCATTGCAATATGTTCAGGTTTCTTTTCTTAGTGGATTTCTTAATCTAGTGGGGTTTTTTCTTATTACATTCACTATTAAATTTCTCAAGTGGACTATTTAATTCAAAGAGTTATTAGAAGAGTATAAAATTTGTAATGTTTAAAACTTTATATAAAAAAAATTAGAGCTTATTTATGTGTCAAACACATGTTAGCATGTGTCTCAGCATGTTCATGCCGAACACTAACCCTCTATTAATAACACAGAGCATGCTTCTTACCCTAAAAGCTAATTACAAAGAAAGGAGCCACTAAGAAACTAGAATATTTTACCATAATTTCTAAGAAATAATTCCTAAGGTTTTACGGTTACATCCAGGTTGGACATAGAATCTTTTTATTAACACCATGATCATTTCTTTGTAAATGTCTAAACAGGTTAGGACGTAATACAACATCAAATATATCCATATATACGAATTATGAAAGAATTTTATTTTGAATCCATGTAAACTAATGAATTTATTTTGAAACCATGTAACCTAAATGTTCAATGTAATATAAACAAAAAATAAAAATAAAAACCTTAGAAGAGTCCAATGCATCAAAAATATTATCATTGACTTTAAAAAAGACATAGCCTTAGTCTAGAAACCTGAATGCTACCAAAGCTACCTATTATCAGCTTTTGACATCCCAATTACATCATTTTATAAAGGCTAACAATATTCTCCACGGGTCTAAACTGAGGAACAGAAGACATAATTCTACTCTGGTGCCAATCCTAAATAACAAGAAATGTTGTAATATTTCCCAAGGACGACGGTCGGTAAATTTTAGAGTAGAAAATAGGGAGGGAAAAAGGTAACAAAAAACATTTTTCCTACAACATGTGTTTGAATCTGTAGCAGAATACATACCATTGCCTTTAACATTATAGCAAAGGTGTTTGCATCATATTGATTATTCTGCATTTCTGAAACTAATTGAGTGAAAGAATCTGGCAGCTTTAGCCCATCGGGTATTTCCTCGGTTTTAACTTGATTGAGAATCTTGTAAAATTCACTGACAAGTCTCTGAAGAAACAAACATTCAACCACGACCAAGAGGAAAGGGCTGAAGTTAATAACATATGCAACCGACTGAGGCATACCATAAAATTCAAAACAAGGTTATGTTCACATGAGAAAGGAGGTATTTACCGCTGAACCGTCAACCCTACCAAGAAGCCGTGGTCCCAACCGCCTGCCTAAACAATCTGAAACAGAGTAAGGAAAAACATGAATATGAATCCACTTATCATCAACGTCACAAAACAACTAAGGAAGGGTTTGTGGTGGCAGGGAGAAGCTAAAATAGAGGAAGCATTTAAGAATGCATAATTATCAATAGAAAATGAGAATATCACAATGGCCATTAGCACATCAGATGAACAAAGAAAAACAAGCATTTCAATTGGAAGGGGAAAAAGAGAAGTAGATGTTTCTTTAGAGACCATGGAAATTCCACGAATGGCTAAATTGAGTTTCTACAGATCAAGGAATTGGAGATTTTCCAGCGCATTGCGTTACATTCATATCGAGGAAAAAGAAAACGATTAAAAGTCCAGAAAAAGCATCTCGAAGACGCGCAAATCATCTAATCATGAGCGCTTCATTTGATATTCTCACAAACAAAAAATAAATCTCTCATCCAATAAAGAAATCACGCAAGGCTTCAGCAACCATTCGATTATGAATGCTTAAGATCCGTATCATAGATTCGCAGACGGATGAACCAAAAGAACGTAAAATTATTTATTTGTAAAAAAACAAAAAGATCAAGAACATAATAAAAACGGTATAGTATAGTATAGTACCAAAGGAGGAGCACTTATTGACGCCTTCGAGGGTAACGACGGCAGTGAGGATAAAGACAAAAGGCAAGAGAAATGCGAGGAGGAGGAAGGTGTGGAAAATGGTCCGGTAAGAGATATGGCGAGCTGCAACCTTGATCTTCATGAAATCAATAAATCCATTATTGGTCGAGATCGTGATGCTTCTCATGCTAGGCGAGAAGTGAAGCTGCATCATCCTCTATGCAGCTTCCTTCAGGTAGTCATCGTCGGCCACGACAACTGAACAAAAAGAAGAAGGAGAACAACAACAACAACAACAACAACACCAACCCTAGCACAGGCTGCCCAGGAAGACGCCTACCACCATCCATGGCGGCCAAATACCACCATGAAATCTAAGCTCGCATCACCCGAACCCCCACCGACAATGAGTTCCAGACAGAGATCAGAAGTCCACAAAGAGAAAAAGAAAAACCCAAAAATCGCTCAAATGCGTTGCTGAGGCAAAACAGGATCAAGAATTCCAAATGGGAGGATGAATTCGGGTCGTGCGGATCAGAGAGTTGGAAGAGTTTAGAGAGAGAAAATCGTTGGTTGGTGTTATGGTGGCGTTGGAGGAAGTTTTGTTTGGGAAAGATTGTAAAAACCACTCCCCATTGGCGGATGCCTTGGCTTCCGATCTAATTTGTTTGTGTATTAAAAAAAATAATAAATAAATAAATAAATGAAAGAAAAGGAAAAGAAAAGAAAAGAAAGTAATTAAATAAATAAATAAATAAATAAATAAATTGTTATAAATAGTACTTTTTTTTTCTTCTTCTTCTTTTTGTCGTCAAATTAAAACTACATTTTTTAGGCATTGGTAGAGAGGGAAACATGGGGGACCCGCAGAAATTTTTACTACAATTAATTATTAATTTTCGACATTAAACAAAACTCATAATTCAAAATGCTTCAAATGCTTGCATCACTTTCCTAGTTGCTCGGATTCAACCTCGCTACCCTCAAAATCCACATGTATCTCAATTTGTGCATCCCTCGGCTCGGTTCGACACGAGCCCATGATCGTCTAGCTCACTCCACCCCTGTGTCGATTGAGCTTGGCACAGTCCAACGTCGACCCAACACTTGCAGTTCGGCTAGAACCCTAGACTCGACACATCCTAGATCCAACTCACGAGCCTAACTTGTCAGCGATCTAACCTGGACCGTGACCTCAGCTTAGCGCACTCCAGTGACTCACCTCAATGCATTCGGCTTGGTTGGCCTATTTTGAACCTCATTATTAAGTACATTTCAAGGTTAGTATGGTTGTTGTTTAGCCAATTTGAAGCATTTTAAGCCTAAATTTTATACTAGGTCGTTAAATGAATTTAGTTAGCTAACATGTTTTAACACGAGGTCGTAGAACTCCTTAGTGGAATTGGATTTAAGGAGCAAGAACCAAGGAGCTTTAGTGACTCTAGCTTAGACCAATCAAGTGGTTTTACAGTTGGAATGCTCTCGGGGTTAGTTAAATGGCTTGTGTGATGTATGATTGATACGTACCTATGGTCCTTTACGTGTCATATTTTTGTGATGTTATGGCGTCGTCATTATGTTATGTTATGATTTACATTATGATACGAATGTTATATGATACATGTATTTCCAGTATGCCATGTGATAAGAAAACCTTAGTCAGTTGACTCTAAGAACCCTCGTAAACACTTGGATATGCAAACCTCTATTTCACAAATGCTAAAACACCTTCCTAAGTCAAGAACATTTATTTGAGATTTAAATCACTTCACAAGCAAGATTAATCTTGTCAAGCTTGAATGATTTGAAACATACCATCTAAACTACATAGAATTGCAAATAAACTTAGCCCGACTAAAAAAAGAGCACAAATGCTCCTTTTACAGCATTTTCCAAGTCTACTTTACAAATATAACATACATTTATATAGCCTCAAAATAAAAACCTTTTACCTTCTTCTCTGTGTTATTTCAAGAATGGTATACTTAATACTTTATGACAATAATTAGCTACGGTGTAAATGTGTCCTTAAAGTAGACAAAAGTCTTAAAATATATTTAAAAAAACATCATAACTATAGATCATCATCCACCCAAATTTTGTACTCATCCAGGAATAAATAAAGTTTGATTCTTCTTTAACGTCGGAATTGCAACATCTTATGATAATTTGAACAACATTTTCTTTCCATATTTCTTGAAGTTTATATTACATGATTAATGGTTCATGTCATCATGTCATGTATGTTATGATAGCATGCTCCATTATGCCTATGAGATATTGATGAGCCATGTATATTAGCCATGATAGATATGTCGAGTATACATATGCATGTCTCATAGCAACATTATGTCATAGAAGGAATAGAAATAAGATTACCATGACTTGAAACTATGAGACCTCATGCATGTTGTATGTCATGAGCATCAAAATATTTATCCAATATGATCGACGTGTGCACTATGATATGATACATGCTCCTTTTCCTTTGTGACTTCTGACAACATGAGCGTGCGATAGCCCGTAGTCAGACCTCAGGAGTGCGTATACGAGTTTGTCTAGTGGATTCATGTGCACATGGTTTGAACATGTGTGGAGAAGTACTACACATTCAACCCTGCCAAGATTGAAAAGTAGAGCACAAGGAATAGTTTATAGGTCCCCTATGAACCACAATTGCATATGCTTGCATTTTCCGACTTTAATGGTGAGGCTACTTATTGAGTATTTTTAAATACTCAAGCCACTTTTTCTAATTTTATTTTTTCCCGTAAAGGTAAGACACCTGACGGCGTCAGTTGAGGAGGTTATGGAATGAAGTCATTATAGTTAGATTTTTGCATTTAACTCATAATTCTTATATTAGGATAGGTCAATATTACGTATTGCTAAACTTTGATAAGAGATGTTTTGTTTTCCGTTTTCAACTATGTTATTTTCATGATGCTATTGAAAATGAATTTATAGACATTTAAGTCCATAGAAATATTTAAAGCGAATCGTTTTGAATGATTTTTCGCATACAATAGCCATGACATACATGTAATAGCGGCCTTATTTTAAAAGGAAAAATTAGGGTCGTTACTCTCAATCTCGTTCTATTGTTCTAACTATCTTTTATAAACCATCACCAAATAACTTGGAGTGACAAAACTAAAATACGAGTCACCAAATCATTATGTAACACTTTCCATGCTTTTTTTCAACCATGCTCTCATCTTAAAAATAGCTCAAACATTCAAGATGGTGAGGAATATGAACATATCATACTTACATTATAGTTCGTAATTTTGAGGTTGATCAAGCGACAACTCTCATCCCTGCTGCTACTCTCTCGTTACGAAAATTCATAGAGAAGAACGTTCAGGTCAACGACTTAACCAATCTATGAAGTTTACTAACTTTCAAAGTAACATCTATTGGTTCATTATCCTTCAAAAAATTATAATAAGTTCATGAGGGGATTCTATAAGTTTAACATCAACACAATCAAACATTTGAAGTTGACTTGAAATCAACATCTCGTATCTAACCCTAGATAATATTATTTGTATAACATACAAATACTAAACTAATAGATTCAATAATTTACACTTTTGTTAGATATAACTTCAAAGTGAGCGTAAGAGAAGGAAAAATCGAAGGTGTTTGAGGACACGAGAACGGGGGAGAATACGAGAGTGTCAGGACTTAATTTTTTAGGCTTTTAGGCTTTGAAGCATGGTCTGTGACATAGACTAACACTAAAAATATTATAAAATTTTGCGTAATTTAAAACAAACACGGCATTTAAAAAACAAATCCAAGTGTCGTTTATTAAAAAACGGGAAACCAAGGTCTGGGATACCAAAATCAATCAATAAATCCCTAAAGGACTACCTCTCATTGGAAGTATTGAACATAAAATAAACTTCATCCTGGGGCTGTCATTCCTAATAGACTCGCATATGAAGCCAATTTAACTGAGAGTAAAGAAATTATGAGGCAAGTGGAGGAGCCCATGGAGAAGGGTTATATATGAGAAAGTTTGAGTTCATGACATAGTAAAATAAGAAATTGAAAGATTTCGTTGAAATTGTTCGTTTGGAAATTTTCTGAAAAAGCTAATCATAGATTCTTCTCTCCATTGGAACAATAGGGTCATTATGCTCATTACTAAACTTGTTGAAGAGAAGCCGGAGAATCCGCCATTTTGGCTACTATAATAGTGTATTCCATTGCCACCCAGTCTTATTAGTGTCAAAGAAAGATGAAATTTGACATATGTGTGTCGATTGTAGAGTCATCAACAAAATCACGGTAAAGTATCGACATCTTTTCTTAGACTAGATGATATGCTTGATGAATTTCATGGTTCATGTCTATTTTCAAGTTTGATTTGAAATCTGGATATCATCAAATTAGAATGCATGTAGGAGATAAAATCGAGAACAACTTTCAAAACTAAGTTTGGATGATATGAATGGCTTGTTATGCTTTTTGGGCTAACTAATGCTCCTTGTACATTATGCACTTAAAAATCATGTTTTGAGATAATAGTTCGGAAAACATATTATTGTGTTTTTTTTAATGATATTTTAATTTATTTGAAGACTTTGGTTGAGCATGTGAAACATGTTAGGTCAGTTTTTATTACACTTAGAAACGAAAAACTTTATGCTAACTTTAATAAGTTTAGTTTTTGCATGAAAAAAAATTAACCCTTCAGTTGGTAAAAATAGAGTAGAAGTAGACAAAGAGCAAGCTAAAACAATTAGGGATTAACTGATATGAACCAAAAAACATCAATCATACAATATACTTCAATGAAGATGTGAAGAAAAGGTTGTCAAAATTATCAAAAGATGTTTCAATTCATGCCACATTCAAGAAGAATGAAGTTTGATTGTCATAAATTTTGGGAGGGTTACAATTTAGAGTAATTTAGAGTTTTTAGAACTTTTTATTTACTTTAGGTTACAATTACATAATGGTTAATTATGACCATTAAGTATGAATGTTATAACTCTTGGAATGCCTCTAGTAGTTTCATTTTGAGGCTATATAAAGCCATGTATGTTGTATTTGTAAGAGACTTGGAAAATAGAGTAAAAGAAGCATTTGTGCTCTTCTTTAGCCAATGACTAAGTTTCTTTGCAATTCTATGTAGTTTAGATTGCATGTAGAATCATTCAAGCTCGACATGATCAATCTTGCTTGTGGAGTGATTCAAATCTCAAACAAGTGTTCTTGCCTTGAGATATTTGATCAACAAGAATCATTCAAGCTAGACATGATCGATCTTGCTTGTGGAGTGATTCGAATCTTAAACAATGTTCTTGCCTTGAGATATTCGATCAACAAGGTAATCCGAATCTTACACCCCTTGTAGTGGTTCCTTATCTTATCATTAACCAACACCAAAAAAATGCAAGTGAAATTTGGAGTTTTCATGGGTTATATAGCTTCTATAGGAGATTTATAATCGATTTTAGCACCATAACTGCACCATTGAATGATTTAGAGAAAAAAATTGTTTTTAAATGGGGGAAATGCAAGAGAATGCATTGAATGAGCTTAAGAGCTTAAGAAGAAATTACTAATGCACCATTACTTGTCTAGCCTAACTTTGATAAAACTTTTGAAATAGAGTGTAATGCAAGTGGTTTGAGCATACGT